TTTTTCCCATCCACATACTTTTTAATACACAAACCAACTGAATTACCAGTAAATCCACAGATGTGAACATAACCACCTATGTCTTCTCCACTAAAGATCCATGCATGAAAAAAATACATTACTATCAACATAAAACAGGGTAGTTCCTGATCCACTTTCAACACAACAGTAGAAAAATGTTTCGACAGAAGCACCACATACACAGGACATGTTTTGTAACACAGCCAAAAACATTACTGATACAGCATGTTAATTTGACACTGATTCAGGAGGCAGGACCTGAGTGAATGGAGTCAGAATAACCTCATGATAAGGGTATAGTGGCAGGAGCCAAGAATCCTGGCCTCTCCTCATGTCTCTATCTCAGGTTATTTATGGGTAATTCAGGTCAGGGCTCAAACGTATGACTGAATTATGAGCATCTAAGAAGTTACTGCAGGTCTAAGCAGTGATAACTCAGGATAACTACTTGCATTCTCATAGCTAGTGAAGGACATGTAAATTGATCCAAATACCTTGGATGTGGGAAGATGTAAAGCAGCACTTAGAAACAGTTAATAAAAACTCAGCTGCCAAGGGGATAACTTCATGAACAGTCATATGTTGCTTTTTTTAAGTGTCCATAAGTTAAAATAAATCATTGGTTTTAAGCAAGCTTAAAGCTACCTGTGGAATTCGAAGTGCTCCAGCCACCTCCTCCCAGTATCTCTTACAGACTCCTGTTTATCTATCATGTGTTAAAAAGTTCTGTTTCCCTCAACACAGAAGAAATTTTGTAAGAGAAAACAGTTACTCATCTCAAGTTAGCCTACACACTCACCAAAGTAGGGTGTTTTTGTTTTGATTTTGGGGGTTTGTTTTTATTTTTAAACTTCAAGGTTATCATGCAAAGTGCTGATCAGATTTAAATTCATTCTGCCAGGTCATTTTTTTTTTTTCCAAAAACATTTGTAGGTTAAATTTATATCAGCAGGTTTTATGTAAGATATCATCTGTCAGCACCTGTCTTGCTTTATGCAAGATTGGGTATCATTTGTCCTCCCACAGACAGAATAAAAGCAGAAAACCACTACAAAACCCCATGCTGTGTACTTGGCTAACTCAGCAGGGTATGGGGAAAGACAGACAGGAGGAAATTAGGTTGCACTGAAGTGGTTTGTACCATTTCAAAAAATGTCATTGAGTTGCAAAATATGTTTCATATGCACACACTACAACGAACTGACAGGGACTTGCAAAGCAAGTATAAACATAATGACTATGACCACTGACAAATGGGAAAAGTAGGACTGGAGCAGAGTAGAGCCCCAAACATCATCATCATCATCATCATAAAAGGAGGGGTTGTAAGAAGAGAAGGAAATAATGATGTGTGTTTCTTGATTTTAATAACACTTTCACCAAAAAGTCACAAGCACTGCATTCAGCTCCTAGCAGAAGCAAGCTGTATATATGCTCCATCTGCACAGGTAATTATTTCACTTATTTGTACACAGGTGATAATATTAGCACACTGATCGCAGCAATGCATGGAGTACTCTCTCTGCCCTGCCTCCCCACCTTGAGCTACCAAGAGGTAGCAGAACCATCAACCTGAACGTGGGTTAGCTGCCTGACAGGCCAAACACCCATATTATTTTAAAACAACTTTCATGTCACCAATTTACATGTTAAAGCAGAAAGATTGAATCAAAGTCATTGTTTGGATTAAGGCATTTGGGTGGAGGAGAGAGTATCTTCTTCCCCAGCTGGAGCTCTGCAGCTCAGCTTTAGGATCATGGCAGTTCAGTGGGTTCCCCTGCTTCAGCCAGGTGGAGTCTGGCAAACACTGCCCCAGGACAAGCATTGTAGCTCCGCTTTCTAATTTAATTCAGTTCTCTAAAGTGCCTATTGTTGCATGGCAGAAAAGAAACGTATGTTACTCCTGCCCTGTGGGCATAATACACAACTTTTCATTAGATCACTACCCAAAATCCTGCACGTTCAAGGCTAAAAGTCTTGCAAGTGCCAGGTGCTAAAGTGAAATGGATTAAAGTCAAGTGGGAGCCCTCAGACAAGGCTCACTTCATGTTTCCTATTTCACATTTAGCATATTCACTTCCATGCCAGTGGGAGATGAAGAACAGATAATGGCAATATCAACAAGTAACCAGCTAAAATGTATCCTCTCTCTCTCATGTCTAGATAAAATTTGTGTAACAAGTGGTGCCTAACAAGGGGGTTCATTATGAAACTGGAAGCTACAGTTTCAAACTACAGCAACAGAGGTATAGCCCAGGGTCAGCTGACACCCACTACTCGACATTCTGCTCTTCTGGCGCATGTTGACCTCATCCACCCTGAATAGCAGACACCATACCCTACCCTCCACACCCCAGAAGGGGCTGAGGACACCATCCTGCAGCACGTCTGTAACATCCCTGAAGTCACACCAGGACTCGCATCTCCACACACTGCCTGCCCCACAGTTCGTATTGTTAAAACCATGCTTCATTTCGCATTGCAGGAGATTCGTGTTTTGGAAGACAAGCTACACCACAAGTGTTTATATCCCCTGGTTCTTCCACAACTCCTGGTCTTTCTCTGGAGCCAGGCCAATTCCCCACCACTCTCTACTCAGGCAGCCATACCTGGAGAAAAAAGGGCCACAAGAATACTTCATGTAGGTCCTGACCAGCAAGTGAAACAGAAACACTTATTTTCATCCTGACTATTTCCTGGAGAAGTTACAGGGTAGAGGTTGCCATCCTCATCCAGTAAGGGGTGCTGCGAGGCACAAGGAGCTGGGTGAACCACAACACTAGCGCAATCATTGCAAATATTATTTCCTCCAGTTCCTCAACATCCAGCCCGTAACTGTCTCTGCTTGTGCTTCTGGCTTTCAGATGTATGCTAGCCACATTTCTTCAGCTTCAAACTTGGAACATTTCATCCCCACAAGCAACATGTTCGTGAAATGAGCTATTGACAGAGGTCCTTTCTATCTTAACTCAGACAGCACTGGTTTACTGGTTTCCTCATTCCCCTCTCTCCACTCTGGTTTCCTTGTCAGAGTACTCCATGCAGTTAAAAACAAAAACAAAAACAAAAACCAAACAAACAACAAAAAACCCCAAACAAACAAAAAACAACAACAAAAAACCAAACCAAACAAAAAAAAAAAAAAAAACAAAAACCAAAACAAACAAAAAGAAAACACCACAAACCAACCCCCCCCCCCCCCCCAAAACACAAGATGATGATCCATTTCCCTAAACATTCCCCATCTTAGTCTCACTTGCACCTGAAAGCTATGAGCCTGGGGCAGTATTTGCAAAGCCCAAGCACCAGTCCCATATAACGGGAACACTGCACACATCCCTGCTGGAGCAGACAGCGGCTGGAGAGTGGGGGTCTGGCTGAGCAAAGATGGGTCAGGCACCTCCCTCTTTCTCCTCATGGATACATTTGAGAAGTGCATCGGGTTTTGCCAGCCTACAGGAACTCACAACTCAGTCGCTCAACAGACCTGCAACACAAGTCACAACAAATAAATAAAAAACCCTGACTCTAAACCCCTCCCCGCCCCCCCCCCCCCCCCCCAATAAACCAGTGAATATATATAACGTTGATATCATATGCACACTCATTCCTTGCTGGACCACCCCAGAACAACTGCTTTGAAAAGATGGCCCACCATCCAGCTAGTGTCTCAAGGTCTTGGTAGAACACTGCAGCCATCCCTAGTGACATGAGCTCCTCCACAGCACCATCTGGTGTGACTGCAACCACAGGAGGATTGACACAAGCAGTAGCATTCATTTCAGTGTTACCACAGTTCTTAAAATAAATGCTGTTGAATCAAAACGCCACTGCTTAATAGGTAACGTGCCTCATATAAATTGTTGGTCTCCACTGTGCCTAAGGTCTGGAGTACACCAATTCAAAGCAGTTTGGGGTTTTGTTTTTTTCTTTTTCAAACTGGAATCATCAAAGACGAGTTACAGCCTTAACCTAGAATTGATTCAGACTTCTGCTAGGAGTGACTGACAGTCGGTTGATATTAGAAGGGCTCAGAGACCTCCACAAAGCAGTTCTCTGCCCAGCCCCTAAGGAAGGAGGGGCCCGCACTACAGAAGTCAGCAGCACGGCCGTAGGAATCGCTACCCAAGGGCCGACCAGTTTGGCTCGGCCACGTTGGCCACCAGAGCCCAGCGAGCCTCTGAACTGCATTTTCTTCTGAAATGAGACCCATACACCAGTCAAGGTACTCCACACCAGGCTTTTGTTTCAAGTCCAACACACACTTCTGACGGGACTTCTCCATTTACAAATAATTAAAAAAAAACACAACACACCCCTCAGCATAAAAATATAATAGGTCTTCCACTGTTGCCAACACTTTTAGTCAAAATTTGGTTCTGCATTGTTAAGATGGCAGATTTGCTTAGGTTCCTGGGAAAACTGTTCTAATGAGAAATGGCCCGATGAGACATACCAAATCCTGACAGTTTTCTACTCTCCACCTTCTAAGGATCAGACCCAGAAAAGAGCTTTCATGCAGTCTTGCAGTCAGCTTTAAACTCGGCATGACAGCATCCTAACCTTGGCTTCAGAATCTGCACTTCTCAGCATCAATCCAGGCCGACTAGCACTGGTCGCACAGCTCCCCTGCGCCTCGGCAGCTGCGGACGGCGACCCCACAGTTGAGGCAGAGGCTTTCAGCTCTTACAGCCAGTCTCTCAGAAAAAAGCGTCCTTTTGCAGAGGCTTTTTTTGGTCTGCTTGGTTTACAGGCATAATCCCTAAACTCTAACCCGTTCCCAACATCTCTAAAAAAAAAACAAACTATGTAAAAGTAAGTCAATTTCTTTCAACCCCACTGCCTTCCCCCTGCCAACCCCAGCTTCCCATTCAGGGAAAATGGAGCAGTCAGTGTTCCATAAAACACAAGTGCCAACCCGCTTGAATCTGGCTTCCATCTACATCTTTAAGGGAGGGGGGAAAAAAAGACATCACACACAATTTTCACATGTTTAATGTAATGGCACCCTAATTAAGTTTACAGTACTTTCACCTCCACTAGATACTGTGTTTCAAAAGTGTAATGGGAAAAAACAAACATGAAAAAAACACTCTTTGTCCGCAAAGTTTCAGAAACTCAACTGTTTGGAGTTATATATGCATAAATGCCTTTCAAAAATTGTTAAGAATTCTATTTTTCACCCTCACACAACAACAAAAAAAAAGGCTTTGCTGGGTCTTCTCACAAGATATGGAGATCAAAGATGGCACTTAAACTTCTGAAGTCAGGGGTGTCATAAGGTTATATGGGGACTTCCGATGGAGAGCCTGCCATGAAGCAAACACTATAAATAGTGAAAGAATGTGCAAGAGCTCTGAAGAAGGGAGCAGCACATGTTTTGCAAACTTGTGTTCCAACAGTCACAGAACTGAAGATTGCTGGCTGAGGAAAGCCTGTCTGAGTTTCTTCAGCTAAACTCTATTCAAAGCCTACCCATCGCAGAAAGTCCTACAGATAGCAATACACAAGGCCCTGCGATACCAGTGACGTGCTCTCCTCTGGATTTTACCTTGGATCACCAACCAAAACAAGCAGAAAGGTCACTTGGAGAAGCCACGGGAATAACAAGTAGTATTTCTTGGGTTTCCTATGACAAATACTTAAGAAAACTAATAGGGGAACAGGTAAAAATAGGCTAGGCAGGAATCTTTTTAAGGTACTACCAGCTAGAAAACTAGCAACCCTATCATTTTACTATCAGCTTCATACTTTGACTTTAAAGACTTAAGGAAAACAAGCAAATTTTGTATGAATACAGATTGCAGAATCCTTAAAGAGGGGAAGCTAACCTAGAAGCAGCCAAGGACCCCTGATTTTCATCTAAAAGCTTAGCCTGAAAGATGTTGAACTCGTATAGTCACTTCAAACAGACTTAAATTTTGGGGGTGGCTGTTTCCTACAATTTACAGTGCTCATTTTCACTTTTATTCCTCTAATTCAGGATTAGGGAATTGACTGAAGTTAATAATTGGAAAAAACTACCTTTGGAGAAGTCAGTGGTTTGGTTCTAGTAAGAACATTAAATATTCCTTCTCCCACGCTTAAGAACTGCTCATTCTGCTGTTTCCAAATTATTATTTTTTTTAAACAAGAAAATATTCACTAGACTAAGAAAGGCATTAATATTTTATCTTTACATCCTGCTTCTAGACTTACCTCCCACTTCTAAGTCCCAGCAATCATCCTTAAAGGACATTCACTAATATTCTTATATTTATTATTAAAGGCCACATCCTTCCATCAAGTCTTATCAGTGTGAACAATTCTTCTCAAATGCATACAGAAATGCCCTCTATAATTTGATTCATGCACAGGACTGATGGAGTATGTTAAAGAAAAAAAAAATGTAGAAATCTACATGAATTACAACTTTTGGTTGAATCATATATTACTTATACAGAAGAAACAAAAAATCTCTACTTACACAGAAAAAGGGTGGAAATAACTGACAAACACACTCCCTCCAGCACTTTTCCTACTATAAGAATATTGCACATTCCGATAATGTTGCACAAATTACTGGCTTTTTATAAAGACCATATATGAGGTATTAGTCTATTAATAAATAAAGAACATGGAAAAGGAAAAGCACTTAATATAACGCAACAATCCATTCCAGGTATTTAGTGAATGAAAACTGAACAAGCAAAAATACGTAACCTTGAGGGGAAGGCTAAAGTTACTCAGCAAACAGGCAGCTTTCAATCTGAGAAGCAAAGGTTTAACTCTCTTGATAAAGATTTTAAGAACACAAAGCCTATTTAGAACACTGCTGCTTAAAATGCTCAATTTGCTCATGCAATCAATCTGAAAGGTAAATTCTTACCTCAATTCTAAAGGAACAGCAATATGTAGGTGACAGTATTGTTATTAAAGGCAGCCAATTTAATACATTAAACCCATATTACAAGACAAGAAATAAACCAGAACTTTGGGACTGATATTACTTAAAATATTCACGGGTTTTTGATTGCTTGGGTTTTTTTTTTTTCCCCCCTTTTAAGTTGTAAACAGTCTAGACTGGTTATGGATTTCCATGATATGGTGCTGAAACTGATACCCTTTAGTACCGTCCTTACTCGCAGATTCCAGCACCACAAGGCATAAAATGAATACGACAGTAGTAATTTTCAGTTTTACTCTATGTTTATGCTAAGAATTTACCTTTCAAATAACAATGCTGAAAAATTCCTTCTGATAGGCAATAAATCTGTCAATCTAAACACAATCTATCTATCTTTTATTTAGACCCTTCCGGAAACACTAAGAATCTGTAGGCAAGCTTATCTTGTTTAAGTTTACAAGAGTACAGCGGAGTATTTAAGTTCAATAAACTGAGCTATGGTAACTACATTGCACACACGGTAATATAGTAAGTATAAAACAAAAGTGTTTTCAGTATGCTCTTCTAAACATTGTTAAAGAGATATTCGTATTTTGGAAGAAAAAAATGGCCTGGTGTGCACACAGACTTACATACACGAATATCCCTTAAGTCAAGGGTTAGTCAAATCCTAAGACTTTTTTCAGGCCAACAAAAGGCTGCTTGGAAATAAAAGTGATTCCATTATTACTCTCCTAGGTGAAGCACAATCTTAACATCCTCCCTCTTGTTATTTTCCAACCTTAAGAAGTGTTTTATTATTAATACATTTGCAATGCTGGATAGAGTAACAAAGACCCAGGTAAGTCGTATTTCTGCTGCTATTTAGTGTAAATTATCTAATTTGCACAATAAGTCTGTATCAGGTAAAAACGGCAAGTGAAATCTTGGAAAGACGTGATTAAAAAAGCAGCATTTCAAAATTAAAGTATCTCCTCTGCTGCAGCCATGCACCAGTAACTCATAATCCTGACCTGGCATACATGAAAAAATTATATTACATTTCTGAAATTAAAAATATATATATACTGTGTTGAAGTTCAAATTTATGTAAAGCATTTACTAAACTGAAATACATATAATTTCTTCTGTTACATAAGATTACTTCTCTCTCATTCTAAGTAGTTACTGAGACATCTACTTCCCAAATGCATGTTGTTTCTATTCTTAAGATTAGTTTCATCTACAATTTTTTTATAGTAGTTAAGTGTTGTTCAGAACAAACAGTTCAAAAAATTTTTTCCATGTTAGGACAAAACCAAGAAAGATTATGAAGATGTTTAAGAAGAAGAAAAGGAGATTAAGAGAAAGGAAACATTACTGTCCAGAACAGTCTGTATATGTGGTAACCATGTTTCCTCGTCTCTGAGTGACAGTCCTACAGTGCTTGCTGGATCCATGAAACCTGGTGTCAGTTCGCACTGCGTGCCGGTGTGCATTTTCAAAGTCACTAAATGAAAACATTTTTTCCATATTTTCAAACACATCATCAAACAGTCCACCTCCAAAGGAGAACTCTTGGAAAGAACGTCTCTGCCGATTGTGAGCTTCCCGATGACTTCGGAAGTGATTTTCAAAGTGCTTTTTGGACCGTGAGTTTTGACTAAAGAGGTCAAAGTCTTTGAATAGATCGTCAAAGTTGAAATTAAATGACTGATGGAATGGGCTTCCATTACTTCCTTGCCCTCCATGGCGGCCAAACTGATCATATTCTCGTCGTTTATTCTCATCTGATAATGTTTCATATGCTATTTCCATTAAAAAAAAAAAAAAAAAAGTAAAAGGTTTATTTACATTCCCATTACAAAAAAAAAAAAAAAAAAAAAAAAAAGAAAACCATACATAAATACAAAGAACAACAGCTTAACGGCTTTCTCCCACTCCCTCAACAGGACAAATTTCAAGCAAGACTTTCATTCAACACACAAGCCCAATCAAGCCAAACATTTGTTTAACTTTCTCCAATACATAATATGCTTTTTCAAAATAGTTAATTACTTATAATAATAAATATGGCTATACTTTGAGGGCAGATTATATCCTCAGAATTTTAAATTCACATAATACAATGCAGTTTAACTAGCAATAAAGATTAGTGCTTATATTTGAAAGAAAACAGCAATGACGTGTGGTGATCAGAAAGACTGAAGGAAAGGATTAGCTCTACCTAACAAAACAAACTGCCTGCTGCATTCCTAACCCTGAAACACAGTGCAATGTCTGCAAAACTACTTGCCAGCCAGCCAGCAAGTTCTAGCCACACCACAGTTACAACTAAGCAACAAGATAAACATCAAGGAGATAAAGGGAATTAATATCCTCTATGTCCAAATTCTCAATTTTTCAGAAGTTCAACAATAATCCTAGATTTTGTGATCAGAGACACCTGAAATGGAGTTATGTTTTCATCCAACCTTTGGTCCACAACTACAGCTACTGGTGTTCCAAGGTAGAAACTCTGACAGTTAATATACCCATTCTGATAATATCAAGTATTTTAAACGCTTCTATTTTCTTATCTGTCAAAGGCTTGCAACTATTCTATATACTTCAACACTTAAGAGTTCCTAATTCCTCCTGCAATAGGTGCTAACAATTGCAGTATCTAAGAAGACTGTCCCTCCCTTCCACCGTATTAATGACTTCCTCTTTTTCAAAAGAACTTCTCTGCAGACAAGAATGCAAAACCCAGAAATCTCTTATGAGCTCAGTCAGAAGTACACAAATAGAAGGATGTTATAACAGAGTCTACTGGGGGCAGAAGTGGGAATACCTTATTTTTCAGCAAGCCTTTTTCAATTCTTAATTACTTCCTTCCACCATTTTATCTTATCACTAAACACTTTGAACGGTGTATTCCTAGGATCACAGGATAATTCAGGCTGGAAGTAACCTCAGGTCTCTACTATAACTTCCTGCTCAAAGTAGGATCAATTACAAGATCAGACTAGGTTACTTGGAGCTTTATCCACTCATTCCTGAAAAATCTCCCAAGTTGGAGATTCCACAACCTCTCTAAGCAACCTGTTCCAACACTGGCCTATCCACAAAGGGAAAAAGGTTTTCCTTATAACTACTCTAAATCTCTTGCATCCATTGTCTCTTGTACTCCCACCATGAACCACTGAAGCACTTTGCTGTGTTTTCTTGATAATCTCCCCATAGTTACTGAAAGGTTGCTGTTGGGTCCCTCCTGAAGCCCTAGTAATCCTAAACTGGATCTTACCAGACATGCCAAAAGATAAGAATTAACCTCCTAGGGCTAAAGCTGTCCTACTGCCAAGTATTTTTTGTGGCAAGAAACATAAGCCCAAAAGCCTAATAAGCAGGAACACAAACTGCGTAAAACATCTGCCTATACACAAGGACAGAGAAACAAGTCAGATAGTGATGTTGGATATGTGACATGACAGAAGTAAATGGAAGAAAAAAAAAATGTATCTTTTTTCCTCTTGCTCAGTAAAAACAGAGTATATTTAAGCTACCACATTTCCTCACAGATATAAGCCATGTATCAAATTATTAAGACTAAGGTTAGCATATATTACCTTCAGCAATTTCTCTAAATTTTGCTTCTGCACCAGGACTCTTATTTTTGTCTGGGTGGTATTTCATAGCCAGTCTGTGAAACGCCTTCTTGATCTGGCGGTCAGATGCATTTTTTGGAACTCCTAAGATATCGTAATAGCTCTCTGTAGCCAGTATTAATTCAGTTATCATTAAAATACACAGAGCAAACGTGAAGACAGATTGCGTAGTTGCCATTTCTCTGCTTCCTAGAAGGAAAAAGAAATATACTTCAAGAACAAGTTATTGCAGGTTCAACAACAACTTAAAGGCAAAACTATAATCTGGAAGAGGAAGACCTGTATGTTTTGGGAGTTACTGACTCATAGACCTGTAAGCACATTGTTTCACACATGTCAAACTCCATTCCTCGAGTCTAATAATCAACAGACTATGTAAATGAAAATACTGCAAATTCACATTTCACATGCATCACAAGCATGCTTCAGTGATTCATCTTTGTTTTACACCTCTCCTTAACTGTACATCCCACAGAGCTGTCGAAGTAAATATACAGTACATTTCACTGTATCCAACAGTTCATGCTGGCACACCTGAACTAGCTTTAAACTAATCCTGGAGTTCTAGGACCACAAACACAGCAGCTGTTGATTAAGCACAAGTTGCAAAAATCCACTCAGTACTGGAAAACCAACTCACTGATTAGTGTATGAAACAATAAGAGCCTGAAAACACAACTGGCCTAGAGACTGACTGTGAGGTACAGGAAGACAAGAGTGTCAGACACTCAAGCTCAGCTTCAGACAGTCATTTAACTGAACTACTGGGAACACAGTAAAGAGTAAAACATTCATTCTGAGTACAGAGTTCAGTCAAGTAGAGCACATTTTCCTTTACTTTTCAGTGGGCTGGTCTTAGCCTACTTTCATATTAGATTGTACTCTAAATAAAAACACCTACTATATCTTTGATATCAAAGAATTCATCTGATAAATACCACTGCATATAAAGGTTTCTATATGAAACTCTCGGTGTCTGAACTGAACTCTGAAGTCTTCTATACAAGACAAGCAGCTTCAACTGTAATTAAAAGTTGTAACTCTTTTTTCAGTAACGTATTTGTCAAAAAGTTACATTCTGAAACAAACTGATGCTAGAACTCACTGAAAAAGCTGTGGCGCAAATAAGTCATAGGATAAACCAGGTCCATGTAGCAACATAATCTTTAATGATTTTTATGAAGGACGGAGTGAGCTCCTCCTACCAGAAGAAGGGGTCAAATGATTTTCCGAGGCCTGTGCATATTATATTTAAAACAGAGTATAGAGTCACGAATGCTGAAAGACAGAATGCTGGCTGTCACCTCATCAGCAGGATATACAAGAAGGCCCGACATGCCAGAACTAACATGTTCCTCTCACCGATTTCACTGATTTGAGTGCACCGTAAGTACAGCTCAAAGAGATGAACACCATTACTTTCCTGAAAGTGGAATAAATTGACCCTACAGTCCAAGTACAATGAAAGTTAGAATATTTTAGACAGTATGTGGCCCAAACTTTTGTCACACAGAGTTCAAAGCCTTTGATTATCAGGCATATAAGAAAATTGAGCCTTTAATGGAGAGTTCATATCCTCTAAAGAAAATTAACACCCAAGCACCAAAAATGGAAAAAAATACTACTTCCAGTGGGTAAGTCAGGGGGTTAAAATGAATGTTGTGAGTCAAGAGCAAAAAGCTCATAAGATTAATGTGCCCATGCCCTCTTAAGCATTTCTTTGGCTAGTAGCCTGCGTGATATCAAGTGTTAGGGAGCAGCAGTTGAAACAAATTGTATTTTGATCAGTGTACTTAGATATCAAACGTACAGTTCTTTTCAGTATTCTTCATGCATGATACCAGACATATTTTTAGTACAAGCCTTTCCACATATTTTCTCTCACCAGTTCACTAACCTGAAACTGCCACTTGGGCACTAAGAACTACACATACTTCCACACTTTTGGGGCTTGCTTCCTGTTTGTGCTTTACAGATAGAGTTTTAAGACTTCATTTCACATGTGCGATTGTTTTTATTTTACTTCATTTCTCCACACCTGCATTTGTGCTTATAAAGTCACCCGCTGCATTCTCACATCTAACCTCCTTGCTTCTATTAAACACTGAAAATAGCTAACAAGGGCAGTTTATGTCCTTCATTAAGAGCCAAACCCTCTTTTATAACTCCCAAGCTCATCAGAGCCTGAGAACATCAAGTCACTCCTTTAAACTTTTCTGCTCTGCCTAATCTCCTCAACTTCTATTATTCTTAATAATGAATTACATTTAAGTCTTCCTGTTTCTACAGTTTTACATTAGGATTTATGTAATGCAGTTCTATGCTATACTGCCCCTAGTTTTATCTGGATTTCTAAACAATATTAAAAAAAAAACAAACAAAACCCAGTACTGAAGTTTCATTATTTTTTAAATAAAGTTTACAGATTTAATGCTGCCCTTGAACAACTCTGGGGAACTCAAATATAAGAATAAAATGAAACATACTTGAAAATCAAATACAAATGAAACTCCAATATAAGCAGCATTTTAAACTTCTAAGGTTATCACAAAGACATAGTAAGTCTTATATTTAGATACTACCATCAATTATTGAACCTACTTTTTAAAAAACACCTATTTTATATGCTGTCAGCACCTCAGTGATGCTACTGTTAACTAACATGGTCAATGTCTGACCTCTGCCCGGCCATCCCTAACTACTTTTAGAATCACTTTCAAAATAATGTCTCTTTTAAATACTTATTCTGCTTATGTCTCTTCTCTCTCTGTATTCCAACTGAAAAGCGACAGATAAGTTCCTCTTTCCAGGCCAGGCACAGCAGTTATTTATAACACATTCCAGAATTCATTAAGGTTTTTATACTTCTTGACACTAAATTCATGCCACAAAACAGTCCTTCCTAACAATTATGAGGAACTACATTTTATTTGGCTACATGTAGCAATAAAGCTAGAGATTTTATTAACAAAGGTTTATTTAACTCTATTGGATAAGTAGTTACAGATCTCAATTACTATTAAGCTTGATATAAGAAGTATATTCTAATGTTTATTAAAAGTATTATAGAAGAGATAACAATCAGTTTGTTATCAGTTCATCAGCAGTTAGCAGCAGCTGCACGATGAAGTGATGTTTAAGGATGAGATACCCGGAATAAAATCTGTCACATACAGAAAATAAGGAGCTAGTTCCATCTTGCAATGCAAATGCCCTATTCCATCCCTCTTTGAAAGTAATTAGAAAAGATCTTCGGTAAATGCCCACATTCATGAAGTCTCACATACTCAGAAAATCCACAGCATCACTACTGCTCTAGTTACACGAATTGTGATGCACTATCCAGTAGAATTCTGATGTCATATAATTATTTTTGCTAACAATTTATTAGTAGACAAAAGTTACCAAAATTTTCCATTGGTTCTCATATCACGATTAACCCGATGAGTAAGCAGGTCTCCTAGTCCACTGCCAGCTACAGGAAGGTCTGTCAAACTCCAGGACCTGTACTTTCCTTGGCCTCTCCTACTCTGACCGTAAAACAAATCTACGAGGTGGCTACTGAATCTTGCTCTGGAGAAAAGGGAAACGAGACCAAGGCTGCCCTAGTACCACCCTCCCCAGCCAGACCCCAACGAGCCTCGCTAGCGCCGTGCCACAACGCGAGGCCCGGGCAGGTCTCCCCCGGGCGCCACCAGCGACACTCAGCGACGCCGCCTCACCTCCAGGCCGGCCAGGCTCGGGAAAGACCACAGCAGACGGGCCTAGCGAGAAACAAGAGCCCGGAGGGGCCCAAAGAGCAAATAAACCCACCCGAGTCCCAGCGCGGCCCACTCCTCCCCCTTCTCCCAGCCGCCCGCTCCTTCCCGGCCCCTCCGCGCCCGCCTTCCCCCCAGCTGCCTCAGCACCCCTCCGCCTGCCTTCCCCCAGGGCCCAGGCCCGGCGCTGCCGCCCGGCTCCCCGCCGCGCCGCGCCCCTCACCTCGGCCCCGTTCGCCGCCGCCGCCGCCGCCACTAAGGCCGCTGCCCCTCGGCGTCCCGCGCGCTCGCTCCCCCGGCGCGCACCCGACAGCGATTCCTACACGAAGCGCTGCGCCATTGGCCGCTCGGGCCCCACGTGACGCGGCGCGGCGCTGGGCGGAGCTTTCCCCCCTCCCGACGCGCGGGGCGGCGCGCGGCCGGCTGTTGTCCGTCCCCCCCCTCCTCCGTGCGGATGGTTCCGCGCCGCCATGCCGCGGTACTGCGCCGCGTCCTGCTGCAAGAACCGAGGGGGCCAGAGCGCCAGGGACCAGCGCAAACTGAGCTTCTATCCGTGAGCGGCCGGGGAAGGGCGGGGGGGGAGGAAGGTTTGGGGGAGGGGAGGGAAAAAGGGTCGGCAGAGCGTTTAATCACACACACACACACACACACGACTGAAAAATGAAATCTAAAATATCGTATAGTCACGAAGCTGTTTGGCTGCTAGAGCTAAGTCCCACTGCTTACCCCGTTTTGTTCAAGCGTGGCTGAAGGGGTGTCTCGGCAGGGCAGGCGAGAAGGGAGGCATTGGCTTAATGGGGAAGAAACTGGGTAACCTGTTATCTGACAGCTTGCAAGCTAAGAGAAGGGCCTAGCAGGGTGGGAAAGTAAACATACATTGATTCCTTAAAATTAACTATTCTCACTAGGATTATTATCTTGCCTGTGCTGCAAACAGAGGCATTGCTGGTTTGTTTGGAGGCAGCTGAGCTAGGTGGAAGCTAACTAGCTCGGTTGCCAGAAAAAAAAAAAAAAAAAACACAGTTTATGGTGGCTGCATAGTACTACCTGGCCACCTGATTGATTAGTCACCATCCCAGACCCGCAGTAACCTCTGTACGGTTGTGGTTATGTGGCTGTTGATTCCCAGAATGGTGAGTTAAAAACAGTGTTTCTTAACCGTGAGAGGAGCACATTTCAGGTAACTAAATATTAATGCATTTTTGTTGAATAAAAGTATGACAAGCATTTGTTAACAGAAGGAATTTTGTAGTGTTTAAGAAAAATTTGAAGAATAAATTTCCCAACGACCCTTAAAATCTGTTTTGGTAAAATTTGTACCTCAGATTAAGTTTTGTTTCAGTTGCTGAGTAGTCATTGTTATTACAAGATCAGAAAGGCTATGGAGGAAGACCCACAGGAAGACTCATTTGAAAGGGATTTTAGTTTAGGTTGAAGGAAGGTTCTTTTGCCCCAGCATGTCTCTTAATATGTGAATCATCATAAAGCAGTCATAAAAATGAGGGGAAATAAGTTATTTATATTGCTTTAGAGAATATGAGTGCAATATGAATGATCAAAACAAGTTTGATTGCTGATACATATTTATATTCAAACGTATGGTGTCAGTATAAAGATGATTGCAAAAACACAGCTGTTTTATCTAGCCACTGAATTGTGCTGCGTTACGAGTATCGTCCTGTGGAAAGGGTGCTGAGATTTAATTTATAGATATTTCTTGCCCTACGTTAGCAACAACTACTCATGAATTGCAAGTTTTACTCCCTTGCCTCCTACCACACCAGAGAAGTCCTCTGCTGCTCTGTGGTTTTGGGTCTGAGCCCCTTCTGAACTTTTAACGGTGACATAATCTCAGCTGGCCTAACTGCACTTCTTTGTTTCATTTCTTCACCTCTCTGTGCAGTGGTAGCAGCTGCTGAATAAATTCTGTCCACTTCCTCTTTCCATTTGCCTTTTCTTATGCCTTGTTTACAACAGAGAACAGGTTATCTTGATGAGTAAAGGTACTGGTTTTGGCTGGGATAGAGTTAATTTTCTTCACCATAGCTAGTATGGGGCTATGTTTTGGATTGTGTGCTGAAAACAGAGTTGATAACACAGGAATGTTTTAGTTACTGCTGATCAGTGCTTACACAGCGCCAAGGCCTTTTCTGCCTCTCACCCCACCCCAGCAGCGAGCAGGCCGGGGGTGCACAAGGAGTTGGGAAGGGACACAGCCAGGACAGCTGACCCCAACTGCCCAAAGGGATATTTCAGACCCTATGTTGTGCTCAGCAATAAAAGCTGAGGGGAAAAGGAGGAAGGGGAGGACATTTGGAGTGATGGCATTTGTCTCCCCAAGTAACTGTTATGTGTGACAGAACCCTGTTTTCCTGGAGATGGCTGAGCACCTGCCTGCCCATGGGGGGTGGTGAATTAATTCCTTAGTTTGCTTTGCTTGCGTGCATAGCTTTTGCTTTACCCATTCAACTGGCTTTATATCAACCCACAGAGTTTTCCCACTTCTACTCTTCCACTTCTCTCCCCCATCCCACCTGGGGGGAGAGACTGAGTGGCTGTTAGGTGCTTCATTACTGGCTGGAGTTAAACCATGACATATTGAAACAGGAGCAGGTTTTGGCATAGTAGCCCTTAAGCTAAGATAATAAATTTCACTATCAGGCATTGTCTCTCACTACAGATTATTTTGTTTCCCATCTGAAGCTGTCTGACTGTGGGGAAAGTAGTGAGTGCTGTGTTGCAAGGGTAACAGCAGCGGAAGCAAATGTTTTCAAGACATTGGAGAGGGTGTGCTTGGTGACATGACCCTCAACTGAAAGAAGCCATCCTTTTACTGAGAGCCTTTTTTGGACCTATGTAGTACCATCCCAGGCTAAGCTCTGTTACTTATGGGGGGGAATGCTGTATAATATATGTAATGCTGCTATTGGGCATACATGATCTAAGTAGGCATTTTGAAAAGCCTAAACCTCTAACCTGTCCTTTAGAGATTGTGTTCTTACCAGCATTATTCCTTGCATTCCTGCAGATGCATCAAAATCTTGCTCTGTTTCCTTGGTAACTTGAAAACTTAAATGGCAAGGAATTCAAGACTGAGGAAGGGGGGTGAAGGCATTGTTATGGTTTGAGCCCAGAGGGCAACTAAGCATCAGGAAGCTGCTTGCTCACTCATCCTCTCCTAAATTAAAAATAAATTAAAAAAGAAAAATAGAAAAAAAACAAACAAACAAACAAACAAAAAAAAAAAACTAAAACAAAAGTTTTGGGAATGAAGATAAGAACAGGGAAGGATGACTCACCCATTGTGGTCAGGGACAGCAATCGACAGACTCATTAGCAGAAGAAAGGGAACATCAATTTAATCTAAACACCAACACCACTTAGTTTAACAATGGAGCAGGACAATGAGAAGCATTACCATGCCTTAAAAACACCTTCCCCCCACTCTTCCCTTCTTCCCTGCCTCAGCTTTGCTCCTGATTTCTCTACCTCTTCTCCCCCAGCAGTGCAGGGGGATGGGGAATGAGGGTTGCAGTCAGATCATCACCCCTTGTTTTCTGCTGCTCCTTCCTCCTCAAGTGGAGGACTCCACACACTCTTTTCCTGCTCCAGTGTGGGGTCTCTCCCACAGGAGACAGTCCTCCGTGGCCTCTCTGCAACATGAGTCCTTCCCCCAGGCTGCAGCTCTTCCCATACGCTCCAGCATGGATCCCTCTTGCGTGTCGCAGTCCTCCCAGCCATGAAGTACCACAGCGTGGGCTTCCCTCAGAGTCCCAGCTTTCTTCAGGTGCAGACTCCTGCTCCAGTGCCGGGTCCTCCGTGGGCTGCAGGTTGGCATCTGCTCCACCCATGGGCTGCAGGGGGGGGTCTCTGCTCCAGCACACCTCCAACCCTCCTCCCTCTTTCATCCACTGACCCCTCAGTGTTTGTGTAGGTGTCTTCCTCACAACTCTTCCTCTTCTCAGGTTCCCCTTCTTAAGTATGTTATCACAGAGGCAGGTGTCCTTCTCTCAAAATCAGCTGAGTTTGCAGTTCTGGAACACTGTGAGCCTGCGTAACAGTCATTGCTGTGTGTGGCTTTTGGAGGAGACCTGTAGCTTCAGGGATTTGAGGGTGGGATCGGGAGTTTGCCAAAAAGTAGCCTGACTGACTTGTTATAGGTAGATTATGGCAAATCACATCCAAATATGGATTAATGAATCTTTATTAAGGTAAGAGAGCAAATGCAGCGCTGGGGTGGCCGAGGAGTCACAGCTCCATCCAGGCTCACCAAATTGTTTAAGTTTCAAACCCCCTTTTATCCACCCAGCTGCCGGTTTCAACACCTTTGACACGTCTCCTGGCTTCTTCTACAATCTTACCTTCTTTCTTCAGTCCTGTGGTCACCTACACCTTGTCCTTCAAGTCTGGGCCAATTTGCAGCTCCTTTGTCTTTTATGACTCAGTGGTTTCAGCTCCTCTCTTATCTCAAGGACAAGGGATACCAGAGATGGCCCATTCTGCTCTTTCTCAATCCATTGCAAAGGAGTTACCACCCTTTGATATGGATCATCTGGTGAGCATCCCAAGGAGGGGGGGCTGTTGGGTTGGTGTTTCCTCAGATCAATTCCCCCCTTTTCTTTTCCCAGTAGTAAAGTCTTTTATTTTTCTTAAAATTTGGATCATTGTACTAATAATAGCTTTAGCCTAAGAAGCAATTGTTTAATTACTTTTAGTGAAAGCAGAATTCTTCTATTATTTATCACAGACTGGTACCTTTTACAAGCATTTGGGTGACACACAGTACTTCAGGCTGTGTCCCCAGCTTCTGTTGTGTGGGAATATCTCACTGCAAAACCAATTTTTTGTTCCTTGAAGTTCCATAAAGGTATGGTAATAAGCATAACCAAAAGAACTGATTGTTAATTAAAAGGAAAAAAGAGCTAAGGGAAAAGAAATGGAGTTAGAAATGCTCCATTTCTATTTAGCGAGTGAAACAAAATGGTTCTTGTAAAGAGGCTGTAGGCACTTGTTCACATCTGAATGCTTCTGTTGTCCATCATACTGCCAACAACTAATACGCTTTACATCCTACAGTTATGATCAGGTCAGGTTTAATGACCATATGAATCTCTCTTACAGTTTCATCTACACGAAAACGTAGATTTTTTTTTTTTTTAAATTGCTTATGATTCTAAAGAATATTGTTTTCTCAAGAGTAGTTATTTAACAGTATTCAGAATTCAACTTATGGTTTACGTATGATACGTGGTTATATGCTAGGGTTAAAATAAACTTGATATGCACCAGAAAAATATGTAGGCACTTTTCCAATACCCTGATATCTGTCTGATAAGAGATGAGAGCCAAGAGTGGTCTGAATGTTCATGTTTTCAGTACCATAACTGCTTGACTGCACATGCATCATAATGAGCCTTTAATTTGTGTATGGCGATTCAGTAAGTAAATTATTTATCCTTGCCCACTTTCTTTTAATTTAGTTCTCTTTCCCATGTAATTTATCTGAACGTTTGCATATATTTTCAAAATCAATTTATTTTTTTTTTATGAATGTGTATACTCTGCATTTTCCTTTTCAAGTAGGTAAGACAGTTGAAAAGTTAGTTATGGATTACATAATATTGTGGGGGTTCTCAATGCTGTAAGAAAGCTTAATTGATGAAATACAAAATATATGCATGTTTTACATTTGTGTTTATTTACTTTTTGAACAAAATTTAAATCCTGCACTGGAAATACTTACATTTCCAAATTATCTGATAATTCAATGTGTGACATATATAAAGAGGCACGCTGTAAAACAAAAAATAGTAACAAAAGGTTTTGTTACTAGTTAGGTCTAGTAAGACAAAAGAGCCCCACAAATACTATTTCTAAAATGAGGGCCAGACCTAACTTTTTTGAAATTAAGTCAGAGTATTTAATCTCACTTCAGCAAAACTACTTTCTGAGCAAGTGTTGCAGGATCGAACCTTTCAAAACATCTTACCTGTGGTTTCTGAAACCCTCAGCTGGCAGAAATCAACAGAAATTCTGCTACTGAACTCTGCAGCCAACTAGAAATAATTTGGATAATTACTGGGTTTACATATAAGCGACATCCTGATTAACATTTAATATTTAAAACTTTTTAAAAAGGATTATTTTAATCTGTTTGTAAAGAAAGACTACCTTGTAAGGAACAATGACATTCTTCACTTAAAAAGAAGAAATAAAGGGGAAAAAAAGTAACATTTTTTTTTGTTTGTGTATTTGTTTATTTTTTTCAACTGCTTTAAAAAGATTTCCACTTCATGATAAAGAGAGGCTTGAGAAATGGTTGCGAAACATGAAGAGAGATGCATGGATGCCAAGTAAGCACCAGCTCCTATGCAGTGATCATTTTACCCCCGATTCCCTTGACGTGCGATGGGGTATACGATACTTGAAACATACTGCTGTACCAACGATTTTCTCTTCCCCAGATGATGAGGTAATGTATTCCTGTCTTTTTTAATTGTAGTACAAAGCTAGCCCAACTATTCATGTAGTATAGATGTTCTAATTATCTGTAATATATTCATATTTTATTCTAAAAATAGAATTCCTGTCCATCAAAACATTTTGTCTGCAGGAAGACTGACACAAAACAAATATATGATTCCATAATGTAAAGGAAGAACAACTTGCCATACTTTGACTGGAGGTTCAGTATCTTCTTTAACTGGAAATTACAGAAGCATTTCCTATAGGAAATTTCCCATAGGAAAATAAATTTCCTATGAGAAAATGAAGATTCTAAATAATTTTTTTCTGAGTAATTACTCTTAATATTTTAATGTTCTTTTAAGGCCTTTTATTAACTGTATATAAATACTGGCTTTGGAGTGTATTAGTTTGAAACAACAGGTTTATCTTTCCTGTCCCTAACCTCTCTAACACCTCAGAGCTCAGGAGTGTAGGCTGCTAAAGATTCCACAAAGACTATTCCATGTTGCCCTTCATAGAATTGTACAATTGGTTACATAAAAATGCTACATAGGCACCTAATCTGATCAAATCTATGCTAATTCTCCTCTGGTACATAACTTTCTACCTCTGGATCATTATGTTTGACGTGGGAGAAATGGAAGAACTGGAATTAAGGCTAAATAACTGTGTCACTAATTGATTTTGCTAAACAATTTATTTTTAGTCAGGAAATTCTCTGTCTTCTTGGATAGCTGCAAGTGTTGTCCAGACTGGACAACCTTGATAAATCTCTCACATATAAAAATAGAAAATATTGCAATTTAGGGCAGTAGTATCTTAGCAATAAATACCTTTCCTTCCAACCCCCCAGCCACCCCACTTCAATATATCCCTCCCTTCCCTGTGCTGTTACTGTAACAGGGAGCCCTGGCTTTGGAAATGGACTTTGCTGCCCTGTGCTTCTGTGCAATTACAGATAAACTGTGTGATTTCACCCCAAAGAAAAGTCAGCTTTTCCCTGCCTCTTCATTCTCTCTTGTTTTGCATGTGACCATAGACCAGTCGTAGCACACCTACAAAGGTGGACAGTAGAGTTAGGAAGGTAACAAACTTTTTATGCAGTGGTGTTGCCAAGAATATACCGATGGCTTCTCTAAATTATTTTTGCATCAGCAATATATACCTGGAAAATCCCAGATAGATTTATCCAGTTTGGAAAAATAATATTCTGTGCTTTCCAATATATCCGTCACTTCCCTGCTATCAAAAGAAAAGAGATGCCAGTTCTTCCTACCTGTGATATTGTGAACTTGCTTCTCGGGGGTCTCACTTCTCTGTCTGGCATTATTTTTTTTTAAAACCTCATGCTTCTGACTGGACTTTTCTAAACATCCTGTGCATGACCACCACAGCAAATAAGTGATATCCACTGACTTGGTCACTGGTTCTATAGTTGCCCCAAAACCAGATTTTCCACATAGACTGAATATTCACAAAGACATGGGAAATAGCTCTCCTTATTCTGGGGGAGAATCCCTTGTTAGCATGTTCCTGAGTTAGTATAGAGAAACGAAGCTGAGGTCCAAAGCTGCCTTTCAACAGTTGCCTATAAACCCTTGGTTTGGAAAACTGAGACCAAAGAGTTGCAACATTTGCGTATTGTTCACCACCACCTTGCTTCATGTATTATGGAGCAAGGGAAGGATATGCTTAAGGAATCTTCAGGAAACATTTTGTATTATTTCTTCTATGTAAATAATGTTTGTGTATCAAGAGCAGTGTTAGTTGCCTGCATTTTAATATTGGTAACCATTCTACATTAGTTTGCAAGGATTTTTATTTTGAAGACTGTTTTAAGAGTGTAAGGGAAGGGACAGATGGACAAGGAAGCTTTTCAATAAAAGTAACATTCTTTCTTCAAGTAGCTCTATCCTGAGAGGTTTTTTGGTGCCTTTCTTTCAGCCTTAATGGCAGTTCTGGTAGGCAAGGATTTGGAGAACATTTCCCTAATTTACTTCATAAGAGATGTGTCTAGTTAAAAGGTTTAGTCTGAGAAGGCCTTTTTCAGCTGCTGGTAGAACAGAGAAAGGGAAACACTTAATTCTCGCAAAATCCCTAAGATTGATGTGATGTTACATATCATCTTTGAAAAGATAAAGGTAACCAAATTAATTCTATTTCTGTATATGTTTTTCAGTCTTTTTAAGACTGATGTTTCATATAAAATGAAATTACAAACTTCAACGTATGTATCAGACTGCATACACACTTTTATGAACATACACTTTGAAATTATCTTTTCCATCATAATCTGTTTTTTCAGCCTGGTCTCTTCCCTGCCCTTCCTTCTTTTTGATTCCCACCCACCCTCCTTGCGCCCTCCATCTTTTTTGCCTGGCCTATATTGTTAGCAAACTGAAAGTTGTTTCTTGTTCTTTTTGTTTGTTCTGGGCATTTTGGGTTTGGTTTTTAGTTCACAGGCCTAACATGAGTGCAAGCTCTGCAGCTTGGGCTCTTCATAATCAAGCCTACTGGAAAAAAATAAGACACTCACTATTAGTGTATTTTTATTTCACTGAGTGACATAATAAAAAGCTTGGTTCAATACTGATCTTTAATCATGTGATGATGTAGCTTATGTGGAGGAGGGGAAAAGAAGATGGCTAAAAAAGGATAGGCTTCAAATGCAGCTTTGTTGCATCTTTAATGCAAAAATATTGTACTGTGTACATTTAATATACATACATTTAATACAGTGTTTCAGGTGGTAATAGGAGATGCTAGCCAGTCTTTGTCAGACAGATTTGTGTTTTCCTCAAGTGCTTTTAAAATTATGATGACTCATAAATCAGTAAAATTCCTCAGAGTTTGAAAAAGAAAAAAAAAAGTGTTATTGCCTTTAGAGCTTTAAAATAGTATTTTAACATTTAGGACCTGAAGCAAAGTTATGGAAGTTGCTTATATGAATTTTCAGGTCTCTGGTGTAAATTTTAAACAGTGCTTATCTAAATCACTCCTTATGCACTACTGTGCTATAGAATGAGGTTTGCCCAGTTTTTTTTCATGCTCAAGTGATTTCCCAGTTACAAGGTGGTTGGTTTTGTAGTTTTTTGTTTGTTTGTGTTTGTTTGTTTTTCTCCAGGGAAAAGATTCTTCTCAGAACAGCCCACAGGAGAGAAAGAGAGAAGACCCAGAAAAAACAAATATAAATGTAGTGTCAGAAAAAGCACCTGTATCACTTGAACATTGTACACCAAAGAAAAATCTTGTAATGGCAAAAAATGCAGGTGAAAAAGCAGAAGTAGTTTGCTCACCTGCATTGAGTAAACCTTTACAAATTCAAAAGCTGCAACTTCAGAATGGAGGTTTTCAGGCAGACAGTGTCATTCTTGATAGTTCACTTAAGCAGCATATACATCAACCTAATCCTGTTCTAGTGACAGCAGCAGTCCAGAGCATGGAAGCTACCAGTGTTCGTACTTCTGCAGAGGATGCAGTAGGTTGTACAGCTGCAGTCTTGCAATTTACAGACCCTGACTACTTGAATTCATCTCTGAAGCTGGCAAATGCTTTAGGTTCAGTTACTGACTACGCACTTGAAAATCCTGACTCTGTTGTAGGCTGCTCTGTTGAAGTACAGCCAACAAGTGAAAATGCAGTTTTACTGAGTACAGTCACACAAACTATCGAACAGTTTGGTGGAAATGAAGAATCTGTCATTGCTATTATTGTGCCAGCCGAGAGTCCAGAAGAGCCTGAAATAGTAAATAGTTCTTTCCTGCCTATTAAGCAAGAGTTTCTTGACACAGAGGAGAGAGAAACAGATAAATCTGTGTATATGAGTGCATATGGTGGAGGTGAAGTATTACAAACTGAGCATTCATATTGCAAGCAAGACATAGACAGAGATCACCTTTGGCAAAAAATTTCAAAGCTCCACTCTAAGATAACTCTACTTGAAATGCAGGAGATAAAAACTTTGGGGAGACTCAGGTCCTTGGAAGCTCTTATTGGACAACTGAAGCAAGAAAACCTGATTTCTGAAGAAAAGCTGAAGATTGTAGAAAACTGCTTTACAACACTTGAAGTGACTATGATACAGTAAAGGCTTTCGATGATTGTTCAAAAATTTCTTTCTGGCCTCTTTGACTGTCCTTTTGGACAAATTAACTTTTGTTTCAGTCATGGTATTTTAAGCATCTACTGCAAATTGTGTGAATAGCAAATATTCTTTAAAATGTTACATCAACCACTACCAAAGCGAAGTTGTAGAATATTGCCTGTAAAACATGACTTGCAAGTAAGCTTTAGAAGAAAATAAAACCTGTTAAAGTTTCGTTACAAAGTATATGAATGGAATCAATAAAGATAAATTAAACCTTTCTAGCTGCAGGCTCTTCTAAAACATGCAACTCCTGCGTTTGGGGCAGCAGTAGAATGGACAGTTATAAAACTGTTGTATAAAAAAAGTGTCCCAATTCTCTTTCAAATGAGTAAGGAGGTATGTAATACATTGTCCAGTGAGGTCACAATTACTCTTTAACCTTCTGTTCATCTAACATTTGTTCTGATAGTTTTTTGTGCACTTTGACCATATTAAAATTGTTTCTGCAACAGTGTTTCCTTTCATTTAGTTCTAGAAACAAAATTCTTTAAGAATATTGTTACAGTGAACAGGTGCGTCTCTTTTTTTGGATGATTCAGCTCAAATGGAAAGAACCATCTTGGTGATATTTTTGCTGGTTAATAAAAAGGAAAGCTCTTAACTCTTCAGTGAGTGCTATCTGCTCAGCATTGATCCTCTTACAGTCTATAGCTGAGTAATGCATATACCCTTAATAATACACTGAAGAAAACAATGCTTTGCAGAGCAAATTGCTAGTGAAATTAGCAGAATCTGGCTCATTATTTTTCTATATCTTACTCTTCAGGAACTGGAATTACAAGACTAGAAATCCGGTCCTCTCTATTGATTTTATCAACTGTTTCTAGTGCACAGTAGGAGAAATTTATTTGCTTAAATACTTTCTGTTTATTCTGTCTGTGTGCCACCCCTTGGATCTAGAGTTCGCTGTACAATCTATACAGTGTCGTGGTTTAACTCTGGCTGACAACACCACACCCCACAGCTGCTCACTCCCCTCCAGGTGGGATAGGGGAGAGAATTGGAAGGGTAAAAGTGAGAAAACTCATGGGTTGAGGTAAGGACAGTTTAATAGGTAAAGCAAAAGCCATGCACAGAACACAGCAAAATGAGGAATTCACCACTGGGCAGGCAGGGGCTCAGCCATCCCCAGGACAGCCGGGCTCCAGCACGGGTAACGGTGACTTGGGAAGACAAATGCCATCACTCCGAATGTTCCCCCCTTCCTTCCTCCAGTTTTATATGCTGAGTGTGACAACATATTGTATAGAACATCCCTTTGGGCAGTTGGGGCCTGCTGTGCCCGCTCCTGACTCCTTGTGCACCCCCAGCCTGCTCGCAGGTGGGGTGGGGTCAGCGGCAGAAAAGGCCTTGGCGCTGTGTAAGCCCAGATCAGCAATAGCTAGAACATCCCTGTGTTATTGTCATGTGAAATGGTTGTGGCAGAAAATAAACCCCCCTGCACTTCAACACTCCTCACTGTTGTGTGTGGTTTGGTGCAGCTAGGTTTAAATTCTGAGTGATATCCAAGTCACCACTATTAGTCCAATCAAATTTAACATATTAAACTTACGATTTGGATACACTAATAGTGGGCTGCACCTTCAGTCTAGTTGTGTTCATGAACTAGCATGGCCACTCCTTGGTCACGTTCAATGAGAAACTGAAATGAGTAGCTACTTAAACAGCACAGTTTATTTAAGCAACAGATAGAGAGGTACTTGCAATTGCCGGTGGTAGATACACTGTCTGAAAAGCACCTGCAAATAAGAGTATACACAAAGCGCACAATAAAGTTGTAAACAGTACAGCCTGGCTATAATATGGAAAAGAGACTCTCCAGAGAGATTTCTAAGTTCCTAAGTCTTACCCAAAGGCGTCCCTATGGGGGGAGAAAAAGAGGCTCAGCCCGTCCACTGGTTCCAGAAGTCAACATGATGGTATCTTCCCCCCTTGCACCCTCTTCCTTGGGCTATTTTTATATTATTTTTTACCTTCAAGGTGGAGTCTGAGTGACTTTAGTCATAAATAACTTTGTTATGATTGGTGTAAAATTCTCTCGCCTCACATATAAAGGTATAGATTACAAAAAACTCAGGGCACAGACTCAAAGAGGAGTGGTTGCACCTTGGAGGTGGGTAGCCTTTGGGATGGAGGTGTGTTTTAGTATTATAATGACATTACAATAAGTAAAGTTCACACAAAGGACAGCATTTCATCAAGATCCGACCGGAGGTTGGCTCAGGGTGGCAAGTATGCAGCTTATCAGTCTGTAGTACCATCTCGTTCCTGTATCTGCTGTATCATCACAGGGAGAGACCATGAACTCTTCAGTCCACTTCACCCCCTCTGTTGCTTTGCAAACAGTATTGTCCTGGGAATCGCAGATGATGTGGTGAATTCTTCACATACCAGCTGCAGCTGTATTCTACCCTAGAAGCCTTTTGATCTTATACCTTAATGCATGAGCAGTGGTGTACTTTGGTCATTTTAGTAATTATTCCACAGTCGTCAACACTCTTTTCAGCAGAAATCCAAAACATAACCCCACACTAGCTACTACAAAGAAGATTAACTATCCCAGCCAAAACCAGCACATACAGTGTACTAGATCATCTAGTCCAGCTGTACACTGCAGTTGGCCTAGATAATCATTGTAAGTCTCTTCCAACTGAGCTATTCTAGTCTATTTTATTCTACAATTATTAGATTATTTGAGGGACTTGGATGTATTTTCCTTTATTCAAAAGTGTGTCCCAACCACCACCACCAGTTCGGTCTGCGACTGGACCACACTCCTACAGGGTGATTTGGGCCCATGGGCATAGAGTGGACATAGCAGGCCCTCTGCCTTTCTTCTTCACACACAGTTTTTTGTGCCAGATAGGTCATTATTAAGGACTACAATTAACTCTTCTCACCTAAGCCTATTACCTAACTGCTGTCTAAACTAACCCCTGCTCTCTTACTAAGCAAGGTATTACAGCTGTTAGGCAAAGGTGTCTAACAAAAGATGTTAAATAATATGACAGTTTATTAACCTGGTGTGTTCAAGTAGAGCTTTACAGCTTTAGGTTTAAAAATACCAGTTTCCCTTAATGCTAAATTTGACATGTGATTGCTCTCAGTGTGTCACATCACTGTGTGTCCATCCCATCCAGGTTCGTGGTTTCTGCAGAGGACAGCATCACCAACTTCAAAAAAAGCCAGAGGTTGCCTGAAAACAAGATGATTTTGTATGTAGCCTTTCTCAGGATCAGTCTTGTAGCAATGAAGAGGGTGAAACTCCACAAAGCAGTTTGAAGGTAGACCAGAATCAATGCTGTGTTTTGTAGGTGACTTGCAAATTGATTTGTATAAAATATTTTGGGCAGACACCTTCTGGATTAATTTTAGAATATTTACTATTGTGGCTGGCTATTGTTGTTTACAGGAAAATAACAGCTAGGTCGTTTGCTTCAATGATATGCTGACACCAAATTAATATATCATTATGAGGAAGGAAAGCCACCACATTGGAAATTGCCACACACCCCTGAATTAGATGGTACATGTATGTGCTATTTTCAGTGTTTCCTAACCATAAAGCTGTGCAGCCTTTGCACACAATTTCATTTCACTAAGCTTACGAACTCTCGAAGGTGCTACTTTATTCCCTGAGATCCAATGGAAACCGGATCTGTGCAGTTGCAGCCCAGCAACAAACTAGCACATGGAATGATCATTTCTCCTGTAATATATCAGGTGTATCTTAATTGAAAGTAAATGTTCTTATTTATCTTTTCAATAATTTTGTGTTTGCGTCAACATTTTTAAAATTTTTCCTGAATATTTCCAATTATATAAATAATTATTTCAACACTACAGATTTAACAGATATGGGCTGTTTCCTTAATTCACCTCTTAAATGTTAAGCTGTATTTCTTTTCCATTGTCCATTAGCTACTGTAGGAATTTGGCATCTGGCTTTCTCCTAGATCTTCAGTTAAATTCCACCAATTCTATTAAACTTATCCACAAGCAGTGTAGTTCCATCTAGAAAAAAATGGTGCCCATTTCCCCTGGTTTTCCATCTGCTTTACAAGGTGGAGCATGAAATTTTATTTAACTCACTCTGAATGCAGTGCCAGCTACAGGGGATTTTTTCTTTCTATGAGACTAAGAAGTATTCAGGGCTTCTCTTCTGTACTTTTTTACATCAGTGGTAGAAGTATTGACAGCAGTCTCACGTGCTTCATAAGCACTCATGAGAAGTCTGTCTAGATCAGTCAGTAGATGGCTTTGATATCTTTTCATTCTCCTTTACCGCAGCGGAGCTATAATTATTATTCCTTTATACTTAAACCCTCTCCTATTTTGAGTCTTTGCTCCTATATTAGAAAAATCATCAGCAGATGTGGGCTCACTCAAAATGCCATCTATGTTAATAATTCATTTTCTCTGTCCTCTTCTGTTTTTCCCAAGCCAGTCCATGAGGTGGGGTGCCTTGGGGTCCAGTTGTGCCCACCTCAGCCATGGGGCAGTCACCCTACTCTGAAGCGATCCCCTGTCTGACTGCATTGCCGTTGAGCTCTAATGACACAGTTCATAAAGTCATGGAAGATTCTGTCTTCTCGTCAGTAAACTTGAAGGTACCTGCTGCATTTTAAAAATTATACTTCCCTCCATCTCCTAACTTCTTCTGTAATAGATTGATTTCCTTCATACACAGCTGTGTTTCGGTCCGAACTGCCTTATGTACAGCTCAATGCCTCCCGTCACTTGATAATGATGCTTCACATGTCATACATGCAAATCCTCACTCCTGCACTTGAGCCTGTACCCAGTGCTGGCTTAGCAAAGCACTAGGCACAGCCTAACCCAGCCCTGCCGTGTCGCAGTGAGATGGTGGAAAGCCCAGGGACCCCGCCACGTCCCCAGGAGAGGGCTCATGCTGGCAGGGGATGCCCGCACGCTGTGGGTTCCTACAGCCATCATTAGTTAATTGTGTCAATGACAGTGATAGACTCTGCTCAGCAGGATTTACTGCTTCTAAACCCACCGAGGTAAGTGCTGGAATTCTTTTACTCTTAGCTATGTTGAACTTCGTAATAACAGTAGGGCAATGAAACCCGGAGCTTGCTTTTGTGAGAAATTATCTGCCCAGTAAGATACCAGGAAAGACCCACCTGCTTTCTTGGCAAACCCAGGAGAAGCTGTGAGCAGCAGGCTGATAATCTTTTAACCAACGAGGCAGCACTAGACAAAGGCCACGTCCAGCCTTGAGGGAAGGTTGGCGGCGAGTGATTTAGGCCTTTTCCTCTCCCATAAAGCCCACAAGCAGGAGGCCTCGTGCCCTGTTGGAAGGCTGGAGGGGAGACAGCGCCTGCACGCTGGGGCCTTGTGAGAGACGCTCAAGGACATGGGAGCTGCTCAGGGGACAGGGAGGGAGAAGTGGGGTTTTGGCTTTTCAAGTTGCTGCCTGGCAAAA